GGCCGTGGGTGTCGGAGCCTTTTGGCGATACTTGCCAGATCCGACAGCCGCCTTCTTCTGGCGGTGTTTCGCGCGGTCCACAGCTCTCAGCACTTCTTCAAGATCATCTGCGTCTGGAAGACGTAACAGGGTCAGCCTGTCGGCCAGATCGACATCTCCCAAAGTTTGATGAAATGATCCACGTGTTCCCGTAGTACCTTGGATCCCCCATCCTTGATCTTCAACTTGACCCGTAGACCGGCCACATTTAGCCGATGAAGATACTCTAGCGGAGCCTCGTCCGATCGGCGGCAAGTATGGTAGTATTGTCGCGTTTTAGACACTCCCAATCCACAGTACTGCGTTTGGAAACTGCGTAACAAATCCGGCCACTTGTTCATAGTGGATCTGCCCAGCTGCCGATACCAGTTTCTGGCTGGCCCCGCCAGCAAGTCCGCAAATGTCAGACACTTTCTGCATATGTCGCTTGATCTCTCATGAGGGCTGACTTGACTTTGCTGATCCATGTTCGCGCTCGGTCTTCGTCTTGATCCTTGCCCGCGAACTCTTTCAGATCCGATATGGCTGAGATCCGTACCCTCTGGATCATAGACGATCCATCCGTCCCGGCTGCAGCTGTTGCTACCGCCGCTGGCGAGGGGGATGGGACCTTCAGACCATCTGGGTCGAGCTCATCATGGGAGTGGTCTCCCTCCACTGACTCTATTTCCACGTCTCGTACTCCATGGTCATGGAGCACTTGCGTTTGTGGCCTGGGCACCCTCATACCTTGTTCATCCAGGAAACGACTCATCGCAGCTTCGAAGTGCCGTTGCAAAGTGCCCGTGGAGGTGTCGGAGGACCCTGTAGCCGTATTCTGGTCTACTGGCGAGGCGGGATCCGTGAGGCGATTAGCTTGAACCCGATCTGATGATAATCCCACTGGCTTCTTGCTGGATCTGGCTCGATTCCAGGCGACGGCTTTGACGCCGTGCGAGTTAAGCTCCTGCATCTCATCAAATTCCACGACGTCATTGGGCTATGCAATGAACGCGAAGGCGGAACAGGTCGACACTGACAAGCGTCTCATGAGCTGACTGCGTCTCACTGCGGCAGTAAACAAGGAGCCAAAGCAAGAGGAGAAACAGAAAGTTTCGTATGTCCTCGCCATGCAGGTTCTCGAGAGCGCTTAGCAAAGTAACGAGCTCACAGAAGAATTGAACGCTCAGCGCGCCTATCTGCGCGCGCTACTTCGCGAGCTACAAGAACGAAAGCAAGCCCAACCCGACGAGATGCCGTGTATCGTCATCCTTTTCGTGGTGGCAGCGATTTGGTATCTCTTTATTCGCTAAAGCGGTATCTAGACGCAAGAGCAGCGAACAGCCCCAGCCAATCTGAAGTACAGAAGTTGCATCCGTCAACCATCACGATGGTATCAGATCGCGGGTATGGAGCCCTGGATTCCGAGTCTTCACACTCGAGGGCGCCTCTCGTCCCCGGATCCTTGCCCGCGCTTCCAGCATTGAAGCCCGGAGGGGCCTAAGGTCATGCGTCGCGGCTCGGAAGATGTATCTGACCCACCCTCAGCCGCGGATTCGTAGTTAGAGGATGCAGGTTGGCTGATCCTCGTCGACGACACTGGATCCATAGTGTGCGACCTTCCTCCGGAGATGGACTTGACTCTGACGAAGAGGTCCCGCGTCACCGATACTATGAGATCCAAGTCAAGCTCGAAGATATCCTTTGCATCGAACGCACCAGCTACGATGCCTGAATCCGTTAGCAGACGTAATAGATCCTCGACTGTCAATAATGAGTTCGCCGTTTTCGTTGGTGCTCTCACCGGTTCCCTCGAGTCTTCGATCTGTCGTGGATTCAGGATCCGCATGACAGGATCTTGATACAGAAAGTCGCGTAAAGCTTGGTGGCGATATACAAACTCGAGATCCTTGGCGGACCAGCTTGATCTGAATCCAGCTTGGTCTTCTTCTTCCAACCCTGTAGCTTGCATTTTCTTCCGCGTAGTCTTACTCGTATCGACCTTCTTTCTCGTCTTTCGACTAGCGGGCTTTAGTCTAGGTACGGTGTTGGTTTGACCGGTGAATCTGCAAATGCATACCGTTTCGCCTTCACTTTTCCTTGTTTGTAGCGGCGTTGCCTTGCGTCAGATCGCAGGGGTCCCAACGGGGACCTGGGGGATGATAGAGAGTTTCTCTTCTAGATCCAGATCCGGAACCCACCTCTCTTCCGTCGACAAAGTTCCTCCCAGGACTCCATCGATCCGCGGATCTTGCTTCATTCAGCAGCGTCTTCGTCGATCCGACCTCCGATGACGCCTCTTCCCCTGACTCAATCTTCACTTGGGCATCTTCTTGGGACTCACGGTGAAATCCCGAGTCACCAAAAGCTCCGGACACGCGCACCATTGTGGCGTAGCGGGATTAGCAAAATCTGCGAGATTGCTGGATCCGACTTACCAACAGCGCCCAGACACCGACTAACGGAGGGGTCCCCCGATGATCTTTGATCTGCTGAACTTTCCTCTATCTGTGTACCCGTCGGTAGGGCGGTATATAGCTCCCTCGGTAACTTCCGAAAAGTATAAGTGGTGAAGCTTGAGGAAAGCTTATCTCACCGAGCTCGTACGGCCAATGTAGTTCCGATTCTTGAGGGCAGGAAGGCAATTGCGTGATACTGTGCAAATTGAGTTCTGATTCATAGTTAAGCCTATACCTGCCTGGATTTCTACCTTCTATGTCTTTGACCTGTTAAATCCTCGACCAGGCTCGCCTGCATGTCTTTTTTTCTCCTTGGCCCAGCATCCCAGCTGTATTATCATCAGATCCACCGGATCCATGGCGTAATCATTAAGGTCGCCATATTATGGGTACACTCATCCGGATCCAGGTCGCTTTGATCCACCTCACTGCAAGTGTACACTCGTCATGGATCTGAGCTCTCCGATCAACCAACAGTGTCTTACGACTGTCTGTGATCTCGCCATCGCTCCACGAAAGTCCGAGATTTGTCGCATCCACCATCCCCATATCCTGGATCCAGGTCACTTGATGTGGGATCCTCACCCTCTTGGATCCGGGCTCGGAAGTATGGGGTCTAAGACATATCGCGGTGGATCTTGCCTTCTCGTTTGTCGCTGATACCATATCCACCTTGAGATGACATCTACCGTCCTTCCTCCATAGGATCCCCACTTGATCCACCCGCACATGGTATATCCCATATCCCCCAGGTGTAATCGGGTGAGGGTCGATCCGAGTCTCCGCTTGGTGGATCTTGCCTTTCCGTATACTATCCATGCCGGATCCATCGTCGACCCATATAGGATGCCGCTTTACCTTGACCCACTTCACTTCGAGCAGCGCGGATTCATGCCGGGCAATCCAGATCCTCCCTAACCACTTGGTGTTGTCACTAATCTGGGATAGTGACCCCTCGTCAGATCCAGTCTCTTATTTCTGAGAAAGCACTTTACCACAATCACGCAAGTGCCTCCCTGCCCTCAAGTGTCGAGCTACATTGGCCGTACGAGCTCGGTGGAGTGAACTTTCCTTTACCCGTGCAGATCTGAAAGGGTAACCGGATTTACTACTTGGCCGGGTATACCTAAGAAGCTCTCAACTCTCAAGACCCCGCTACAGGAAGCGGCAAGTACGACGCAAAGGAAAACAAAGGCAAGGGAGCACACCCGCAAGACAACTCTACGGCCAGATCCCAGATCTAGGCCCTGGATCCACCAAGCTCGAATATTCGCTTGGGATCCAGTAACAACTACGGACGCAGAGTGAAGAGCTTACCACTACTGCTGCACCCCACCCCCACGTCTCGCCAAGACACTCAAGCTTCACCACTTGAACTCTTCGGAAGTTACCGAGAGAGCAAGATCCCGCCCTACCGACGGGTACACAAGGTGAGGAAAGTTCAGCAGATCAAGGATCATCGGGGGGGGGGCTTCGCTAGTCGATGTCTGGGCGCTGTTGGTAAGCTGGAACCAGCAATCTCGTAGATTTTGCTAATCCTGCTACGCCACAATACGCTGGCTAAAAGGAACACGTTACGCATGTGATTAGGCTTAATTGTGCTAGATAATTAAAGCGATGCATTTACCCCTAGGCGGTTTTGCCGCAATAATAGTAAATAAAACACTTCTGGTTTCGAAGCATAAAAGTTAAGGTATTAACTTTGAGCCCTGGTCGTGGGCTGTAAGTTTCGTTGGATAAGGAGCTTAATATTAGTGACTCTTTGAGTAGAGCGTCTTCCTCTGACGCCAAAGCTACGACAGCCCCGCTGCAGCACTGGCGGCGGAAATGCTCTGTCGGCTCGTCCTGGGCATCCAGAAGAGCAGCGAAGTAGTAGCCGCAGACTTGCTTAGTCGTGAAGGTATTATTGAGGGTCAAGACGGAATTGAAAATGATAAGCAGGGAGCTTGGTGCATGTTGGAGACATCTCCGCTCACAGCCACCAATCTAGAGGCTGCGATTCTGAAGATTTGAAAAAAAATAATTCTTTTGCAAAATAAAGAAAGCAGCTTTATAAAAAAGGACTTACCGGTAATTTAAAGCGCAAAATAACTTACTGGCAGAAAGGCCATATTACTCAGTTTGTCCACAACTCACGATTTTAAATATTGAGAAATACGTTTTTGCAGCTAGAATTTTTTTTTTTTGCCGGTGTTGAAATTACGCGTTTCGCACAGTTACCGTGAAGTTCTACATGGACAGTATGAGGCATTCCCAGTACCGGTATAATGCCTGTACTGTACTGAGGCTGGTTGACATGCACAGATGTCACTCTCATTTTAGTGACACCTCCTCCTAAGTCCGAGCGTTTTTGTTCTTTTGTTGGGTTCAGCAGGAGGCTCCGAGAGAGACGGCCAAGGCCAAGCAGCGCCTCTCCAAGCGACACAGTACGCTTCTCGTTTCCTCCCATTCCTCGAGCCTCAACTCGATTCTGATCCGTCGCCCCCTCTTTTTGTTATTTTCGTAGCAGTTTTTGACTGAAAGATGCTGCAGCGGCTGCGCCACGCCGTGGGCTGGGGGCTGCCTGCTCCCCCACCCGGTACGAGGGTGGACTTCCAGGTGTGTGCACCGCTGGGTCATGGCCAGACGTTGTGGCTCGTAGGGGATCTGCCAGCTTTGGGAGGATCTGTGGATGTGGTGCCCAATACAGGCGGGGCAGGAGCCGAGGGCGGTCTACAACTAGTCACGACACCCGATCTGTACCCTATTTGGTACAATTTAGAGCCCGTTTTAGCGCCCGCGGGCTCCGTAGTGCGCTATCGCTATGCTGTATGCTCTGGCAGTCGCTTTTTACGCTATGAGGGCACAGCCGAGTCCGGCCCGGTCACCAGAGAGCTCACCGTCGGTGCTGGCTACGTACAGACACAGGATACACTGGATGGCCGGCCTAGACGTCGCTCCTCAGTCTGCAGCGACGACGAGACCGCTGGAACCTCCACAGTCGTCAATTCTGACGCTGATCAAACAGCCGACGCGAGCGACGAAGATGTCGCCCCTCCTGCGTTTTGGGGGGTTATCCCGCGACTCAGTTCAGGTCAGGCTTTTGTGGATCGACGTGCCAACGGGAGTGAAGATGGAGGCGGTACATTGCATCGAAATAACAGACGCCCACCAGGATCTGGCAGACTGTTGACGGACGTGATCGCCGAGGAGAGCGAACAGACTGCAAGTCCCACTGCGAGCAACTCAAGACACGCCTCCGCCAGGGTGAGAACGGGGTCGGGCCCAATGCCCGGAGACGAGGTGGCTAGTCCGACGAATTTAACACCCACGTCTCCACGACCGACAGCCAGTAGTAACGTGACGATGGAGGCGACGGATGGAGTTATTATCGCTGTTCACCGACTGCCCGTTCTTGTGCATAGAACCCCAGAAGGTCACTACCATATCGAATGGGAAGATGACAACCTCATCTGTCCCTCTGGACTGCTGAAAGACTCGTACCGTGAAGCCAATTGGGACCGTGTGAGCTCCATGAGATTAACATGGGTCGGTACCGTTCACTGTGCTGAGCCCATCCCCAAGGAAGACGAAGAGCGACTAGCCAAACAACTCGAGGACTTCCACTGCGTTCCTGTGTTTCTATCGGAGCCTCTGGGCTCGACGTTTCACAATTTCTGTTATGGTACGCTCTGGCCTGTCTTTCACAACATCGTGGATGTGTATGGAGCTCTCCCTACGCGCTGGTGGAACCCTAGCCAGCAACGCAATGCCTGGGCCAGCTACAAGACAGTCAACCGGATCTTCGTCAACAAGGTCATTGAAGTCTACAATGAAGGCGATTTAGTATGGGTACATGGCCTGCATCTCCTGGTAGCGCCGAGTTTCCTGACACGTCGTCTGCCCTGTGTCAACGTCGGTATCTTTTTGCACACGCCATTCCCAAGCTCTGAGATCTTCCGGACTTTGTCAATGCGCGCAGACTTATTGCGTGGTGTTCTGGCATCGGATCATATTGGTTTCCACTTGTACGAGCACGCCCGTCACTTCTTGACGAGCTGTCGTCGCATTCTCGGCCTCAAGTACAGCGCTCAGCCTGGCGGCTACATTGGCGTGGAGTATAATGGCCGCATGGTCATGCTGACTATCAGTCATATCGGTATCGAGCCTTCATTCATGGACAGGATTAATTCTAGCGTCCAAGTGGAGCAGGATACAGCAGTGCTTGCAGCTAAGTACGAGAGCAGCAAGCGGAAGGTGTTTGTGAGTGTGGATCGCGTGGAGAGACTGAAGGGAATTTTACTTAAGCTTGGAGCAATCGAGTTTTTCCTGGCGCAGCATCCAGAGTACGTGGATAAGGTGCAGCTCGTGCAGATCGGTATCTGGGACTCGTCCAATCCAACCCCAGAGAAGGATAGTGTCCGCGCAGAGATCTTGGCGCATATGAAGCGTATTAACGACCGCTTTGGCGTCAACCGCAACGAGCCAGTTTTTGCCTATTCCGAAGTGGAGAACACGGACATGGCTTCTAGATTGCCGCTCTGGCGTGTGGGTCATGTGCTGCTCACTACTTCAGTGCGTGATGCGGTGAATTTGTATCCGTTTGAGTTCATATACGCTCATGAACTCGCCAAGTCCCCAGGTGTTGTGGTTGTGTCCGAGTTCTCGGGAAGTAGTCGCGTACTGACAGGCAGTGTGGCTGTAAACCCATGGAAACGTGATGAGATTATTCAGGCGATGGAGCTGGCATTGACGATGTCGGACGAAGAGCGCGCTGCGCGTCATAAAAAGGATCTGGAGTATATTACGACAAACTCGCGGACGAAATGGGCGGAGCGTATCCTGGTGGATCTCAAGCGGACGAAGAAGCAGACTGCGGAGGGCGAGTACATGGGGTACGGTCTTGGATTGGGCTTTCGAATGCTGGAGTTTAACGCCGGCTTCAAGATGCTGGAGACGGATGTTGTTGCCAAAGCTTATCGCGAGACTTTCCGTCGTGTAATTTTCTTTGATTACGGCAACACGTTGACATCGGAAGAACCTGCTGGCACTCACAACTTCTCCAAGTACATTACGGGCAATGAGCAGAACGCTTTTGTGTCCAAAACGGAGACTCCCAAGGCCTCGTCGGATCTTTTGGCCTCGTTAACACTGCTGTGTGCCGATCCACGTAACACAGTGTTCGTACTTAGTGGAAAAGAGCGCTTGGATCTGGAGAAAACCCTGGGCTCAGTGCGTGGTTTGGGTCTTGCTGCAGAGCATGGATACTTGTACAAGTGGGGGACTGGAGGTAATGCTAGTGCTGGTAGCATGGCTGCACAACCGTCGAGCAGTAGCAGCTCCAACAGTATGGCAAGCGAAGTGGAGGAAGGAGTTTGGTTGTGCACGAAGGACAACTTTGATGACTCGTGGAAGGATGTGACGCACGCCGTCATGGATATTTATACGCAACGCACACACGGCACGTACATTGAACTGAAAGGCAGTGCGCTGCTATGGCAGTACCGTGATGCTGACCCGGAGTTTGGCCAGCTGCAAGCGAAGGAGCTGCACGATCAACTTCTGCAGGTGTTGGAGCATTTCCAAGTGGAAGTGGTGACGGGTACAGACTATCTCGAAGTGCGGCCGGAGGGGGTGGACAAAGGTGTGATTGTAGACCGCGTTCTGTCCACCATCGAGTCTACCAGTGGACAGTATGTCGACTTTATCTTGTGTATGGGGGACGATCTGTCGGACGAGTTCATGTTCCAGTATCTTGAGGACGTGCGCAGTCGACGCAACATGTTCACAGTGACTGTGGGCAAGAAGCCCAGTGCAGCTAAGTACTTTGTGAACGATGTGGACCAAGTCATGGAGATTGTCCACGCGATGACGAAGGTATCGACGGCTGCCAAGCGCAATTTCTCCATGAACGACTTGCGACTATTCGACCGCAACGCTGCAACCAGGTAAACTATTGACGTCGCTGCTGTCTTTGCTGAGTATGTTAGGCTAACTCGCTGTGCTTGCGTGTAGTGGGGGACTGTTGTCGTTCCAGCGTAATGAGGCGGGTCTGAACCGGCCGTCGGGTAACTTGGGCTACATGGGTGACGGTAGCTTTGAAGGCATGATGTCGTCGCCTTTCGAGGGTCTGGGCGAGGGCGACGAGGCTGCAACATCCGAAGAAACTCCGCAGACAAGGACAACAAACTCACTGGCTGGTCGTGGTATTGCTGGTAGAAGTTTAGGGGGTGGTTTGGGTGGAGCCATGACTGGACGCAACTCGATGTCCATGAGCTCGTTATCTACGGCAGGGATGCCCTCGTTGCACCCCACGTCGTCCACTTACGAGCAATATCTGAGCAACGTCGACGAGGCAGCGGAAGAAGAGGAAGGAGGCATTTTCTTCTAAGCTTGCGACCATTAGACAAAACATGCGCAGTCCGAGAGGGTAATACAAAGGATCTTTTAAGGTTGGTCTTCTACTTGTCGAGGTATTTCTCTTGAACATCATTTGCGCTCTGATCTCCGAAGGCGTAGTCCTTGACGACTGCAGTCTGGAAGTCCACACCGGTGAAGACAAAGCCGTTGGCCTTGTCGATCGCTGCAACGACTTTCTGGATCGTTGCAGGGTCTTGAATCTGTAGGGGCAAGAAGCTCACCAAGCTAAAGTCTTCGATGACGTCGACCAGCGCCTCGTTCATGCGACGGAATCGCTCTGCTAGTCTTGAGCTGGGGATCGTTGTATGTCGTGGCTCCAGTGAGATCTGGTCCTCGTCTTCGGCGTCATCAGGCTCGTCCAAACGATCCAATAGATAACGTAGATCCAGCACGTCCGTGTAGAAGTCCAAATTGAACGCTGTAGAACCTCCGTCAGCTTTAGACAAGCGCTACAGAGCAACCCGAGCGGATACGTACCGAGTTTACCGTACTGCTGCATCAGATCGATCTTAGACAACACGTTAATGTGCGGTAGCTCCAATCGCACCATAGACGATAAGCTCAGCATCACTACCGACACAAACTTGGAGCTGTCTGTACAATGGTGGGCGTCCACAAGGTGCACTACCGCCAACTAGGTAACAACAAATATCAGCTAAATAATGCGTAAACCATCGTCCACCTAAAATGCGTACCCGGTACCCGAGTTTCTGCAATTTCTGTAGAATATTATGCACACTGTTCTCGTGCGTGTAAAGCTCCACTTGGCCTGGAAAGTCGAACAGCACGTACTTGTTCTTAAGAGCTGCGAGCTTGTCCTCTAGCCATTCAAAGTTGACGTCTATGTAGTCCATGCAGTACACGAGACCTGCAGCCAGTTGCAACTCCAATATTAACATAATGTCCGTTATCTATTGGGCTCCCATTTATTCTGTGGCACGCACCGCCATTGGGACCAAGATCGAGCTCCTCCATGACTTTTTCGAGACACACCATCTCGGACACGTCCACGTCGGCCACGTACGGCAGCTGCTCATTGGCCGGGTCCATGTTGACTACGGCCACATCTCGGTGGTTGGCCTGCAGGAACTGCTGCATGCCATTACAGTACGTCGTTTTGCCCGAGCCTGGAGGCCCCAGCACGATCTGCGCAAACGGCATGTCGATCGATTCTCGAATGGCTCATCTTGTGTGTCATGCAAGCAGCTACAAATCGATCGGATTGGCTAAAATAGATAACTTTGACAGTAACAAGTTTTATACTACAAAAAAAACAAATGGTTATCTATTTCCGAGCGGAGGTAGCATTAATTCATTTTCGAAAAATAACTTCGTGGAAAAGTTCAACTAAGTTATGTTGGATTCCACGGCTCGCGCTCTGTGAAGCCCTGGGCCTTGTCGGGGCGAGCCAGGCGCACGTTCTGAGTGAGCGCAGGTGAATTGCCATCTTCCATTTGGCAGATCTGGGACGAGCGGGTACTGAGCAGACGAGAGACCAACGATACGTTCTCCACGTTGGTGGCTCCAATATCTCTGAGGAAGAAACTCGACGGCGCTCCATTAATTAAACCAGCAGTTTTTGTTGCCGTGAGGCGAGTTAATGTGCGAGAAAACCGGTTGCGAACGGGTTCAGCCAGTGCTGGATGCAGCCGCTCTTTCATACACACCACTCGACGCAGACGCTCCTTCAGTACAGCTTGCTGCATGTCGTGGAAACTCATGTGACCGTCGGAATCTCGAGGCAATGGAGCGAATAGCGTCTCGATGTCACGTGGTGTATACTGTGGGAACCGTTTCAGTAGATTGTCCACTTGACGCACCACTTCTTCTTCCTCTTCTTGTGACAATGAGCATATGCCGTACACCGCCAGAATATCTTCTCGCTCCATACGCGCCGACATAGTCGTGAGCTCACGATCAGTGACAACATGGAGGCCTTTCTCGCCGCTTCGTAACCTTGAGCACTTGTCTAGGGGCCCATAGAGCCCAAAGACGAACAATCGACCTGCTGAAGTCGGATGTTGTAAGTGGTCCGGGAACAGAAAGTTGAGGAGTTGATCCAGCCCCATGGCTGATGTCCTACCACCACTTCTGCCATTCGGGGGCGTCACAGCGGCGTGGCCTTGGCCGTAAGCGTGTGTCTTGTTACCGGAATGCGCTAGCAGGAAAGCTAACTCGTGTGTTGCTGTCTTCTCGTGAGTGCTACAGCGAAGTCCGAGCTTTCGAGGTGCGTCTTTAGCAAACCGAGCTCGAAGACAGGAAGATGCACCCTCGGTCCAGGCGCTTGGGTCTCCCGGGCCGACAAGTTGCAGTAGTTCAGCGACAGCGTTCGGCTTCTCGACCCCCAGAATCAACGCTGGGCCACTGGCCAGCGCGTGAATAGCATGTTCCAAGATCTCATTGTCCTCTTCTGTCATCTCCAAGTTGGCTTTAACATTCGAAGCTCGACTAACTGCATCATGTTGCTCAGAAGTTGCTTGTAGTTTTTCGTCCTCATTTTCCTCCAGTGGTGGCGGTCGATACATTGCGCTGTGTGGATTGCATACTTCCAGCACAAACTGTCGTGCTGCATCAATCGACAGATGAACCAAAGCCTGTTGCCTTACGACAAAGCCGCTACGCTTGAGCTCCTGGCGCACCGCTTCATCATGTTCGAGTGCATCTGCTTGCAGCGCCAGCACGCTGAGTTGCGCTGCCTGTGAAGATTCCGAGTCACGCGGGGTGGCTTTAGACGGTGAGGCAGCGCTAGTGCGGGGTGTCTGTTGCTTTACCTTACTCATGGAGCCTTAAGCATTGCATTAAGTTCTACAGTACAGTATTAATTCTACGTATTAGAATAGACCACAGAAATAGAAGATCATTTTCGACAAGTTAAAACACAGCCCTCTCTCTCGTCTTCGTGGAGTTTTCATACAGTCACCATCTTCACCTTCAAGAACCTTAAGCAGCGAGTGCAAAACCAACGCGAGGCTTGCGAGAGTCGGTGCCCCAGTCAAAGACTGTGTAGTGCTTGCGCATGAAGACGTCGCCCAGGATCCACAACGGGCCAGCGGGGGCTGGGATGTCAATTCCCATGAAGGCGAAGAGACAGATGGGGCCGCTCTTGAGCGTGTACTCCTCCTTGGTCAGCGTGTAGGTCTTGCCATTGAGAACGAACGAGATGTCGGGAGCCGCAGCGGTGCAGCTGATGAGGTACTCGCCCATGATGAATTTGTGTGCACCCACCAGCGCCGCCAACTTGGCCACCTGATCCTCGGTCCAGCGATGAGCGAGGTGCCAGAGTCCACAATGGCCTTGTCCACGTCCGTCAGCTTCTCTCCTTTCGTCTCCACTGCACCGAGCTTGACCGACCAGTACGTGGCACTAGTGACATCAACATATTCGATTTCTCCCTTGTAGTGAGCCTTATCCACTCCTCCAAACGTCAACTCGCCATCCTTCTGGTCACCCAGATAGAAGGCGAAGACGGGCTCGTCCAGTAGACCCTCCTGGACCATGCGATGGAACGGGGTCTTGAGGTGGTCCACACTGATCGTGTCGAAGGCCAGACCGAAGAGGCCGTCGAATTTGCCCAGGTAATAGGCCGGACCCAGACCCTTGGTCACGTTCACCTCAGCAAAGTACTGGTCGGGTACTGTAAGACCGCCTAACTCCAATTTATCCTGTGATAGGAAGCCCGACACGGGACCACTACCGTACATGATGTCGAAGGCTGTACCGTTGGGTTTGTACGTGCTGCTCTTGTCGTGGTCGTACACATTGTGCGAGCCAAACTTCTTGTCGGGTACCCACAAGTTGCTCGAGCCTGTGTCGAAGATGACGGCGAACGGCTGAGGCGGCGTCCCGATGGAGATCTCTCCATAGTACTGAGCATTCTGGAAGTCGCGGATCACGACGCTGGCAGAGCCCTCTACAGTGGATTGGCCTTCGTTTTGGTTATTAATTGGGGATGCGTCAGGACTCCAGACGACGGGACGCTGCATGGCGTGCACGTCGTGCAGCAGAGAGGACACGAACTCGTCATCGCTGCGTTTGATCATGGGCACGCGCATCACAGCGGCGGAGCTGAGCGCCAGCAGCAGCGAGCAGAGGACGGAGCAGCGCAGCATCATGGGAGCGAGTATATCTATCTAGGACTTGACCAGAAGAAGAATGGATCTGATGCACGTGAGCTTCAAGTTACTTTATGAAGGGACATTTGCGATTGGCCACTTCATGAAGTAACAAACGATGCTCCAGTGCAATGGAACACCGAAAAGTTGCTGCCATCTTTTAGTGAATCGGTCACTTTGTTCGAACGTTGGCATTAATATCGAACACAACCAACAGATCCGCCCGAATAACATCACATCCATATCATGTCTAGCATCTCATCTTGCACTGCTATATGTATTGTAAACTTAGTTGACCATACAGCACAGCAAGAAAGAAAAATCATTTTGCATTTGCATTCGCGAAGGACATTTAGCTACACCCTATCATCTAAAACTTAAACTCTGCAGTTTACTCGCGGGGATGGAAGTTCTCAATTAGTCCGACGTACAGACCAGCGCCGAGTAGACCACCAACAAAAGGGCCGACGACCGGGATCCAGAAGTAAAAGCTACGGCCAGTGAACACCTTCCAGCCCCAGCCAGCAAAAAACGTAAAGAGACGAGGGCCGAAGTCACGGGCGGGGTTGAGAGCATACCCGGTGTCAAGGCCGAATGCCATCCCCACGCAGGTCAGCATCAACGCCACTGCAGCCGGGAACGTGTAGGGGCTGGCAGGCTTGTTGAGCTGGTCACCGACAGCGAAGATGCCGCTAACAAGCAGAGCCGTGCCAACGATCTCGTTTGCGAGGCCACACCAGTTGGGGATCTGCTCGTTCGGGTAGGTGGCAAATATGCCCTGGGTAGTCGCGCGCTCGGGATCCTGGAGGTCGAACCACGGGTAGTACACGATGAATACGACCCAAGCTGCTGCGAACGCTCCCAGCGTCTGAGCAACAAAGTAGCCGGGGAGCTTGTACCACTCGAATCGGCCGAAGGCTGCCAAGGCGAGCGACACCGCGGGATTGAGGTGACCCCCGCTGACGCCGCCGGAGAAGTGAATGCCGAATAGCAATGCAATACCCCAGGCCAGATTCACGGAAAGGTAGTGTCCGGCGTCGCCGCCACCGAGGACGTATTGAGCTACGGAACCATCACCAATAAGCACCAGGATGAAGGTGCCGACAAACTCAGCCAGGTAGGCTCGGACGTCAGGGTTAGCAATGTGGTAGAACGGAAGGCGTGCGTTTCCCTGGAGATCAGCGTATCCCGCCTTGAGCGATCCGTACTCGGACATGTTGAAGTGGTTTGGTGGAGTTGTGTTTAAAGGGAAGAGAAATGGAGAATGAGTTGTTGGATCGAGTGCTTGTCCCTGACATTTGTCAAGGTAGTGAGAGAGACATCGGAGCCTGGTTGAAAACTGTGACCAGAAGCCAGATGTTTCCACATGCTGACCCTATTGAAAAAAATGCCAGGTGGTCTCAGCCGCTGGAGGAACAGCTTGCTGCTGTCCTGTGGATCGCGAGGTGATTCACTGCATGATGCAGCATCCGAGCCACAGAAGGATACGAACAAAGACAGTTGAGTTGATCATTACTGCTTTGCGGCCATCCCGACAGCAAAAGGTGAAGTTGCCCAGACAGCAATCTGTCCACTCAGCGACTCTATTCTGACCCGTCACAGAGGCAATGGCATTTCTACTACGGTAGTTTGCTGCTTTTCATGTACATGTATGAAAATGTTGGAGGGCATGTCAAAGAATACTATTATCCCGGCCACCAAACCTTGGACAAACTTTGGTCCAAAAAAGGTAACCCTTCCCTTCACAAAACCCATAACGATAGTTAGATATAAGGGGTAAAATCGGGCGTAGATTCCGATTTTGAGGTCTATTTTTGCGTATCTGCAACCATTGATCTCCCAATCGGCCGTTTAAAAAAGGCTCTATATCTTGCAGAATTGTTTGCAATTGTGGGCTTGGCACGTACTAACATGGA